GTCGTAAGCCCGCGTAAAGAAAAATCTGATAAGCAGTATAAGAAGGGAGGAAATACAAAGAATAGAACAGCGAAGAGGAAACGCAAACTGGAGAGAATAATTTGCTTTATCAGTCATCGCGCATTGCGTGCTCATTTAAATTACGTAACTATTATTGTGTTGAAACAAATTATGCCTCTCGCCTTGAATCATTGCCTTGAATTTCTGTTAGAATGTCCCGCAATTTATTAAATTTTTCCAAAATTATTGATGTTTTTTATTGATAGTCTATACACTTGGAGTCTACGAGTATACATCTCGTATGTTTGGAATAATACAATTAAGAAACAGAAGATACAACCGTTATATAACTTCTTTTATTAAAAAATATTAATAATTAATAAGTAATACATTTCTATTCTTGCAAATATAAATTTTTATTGTAATTTAATATTTTTAAAATATCCAAATAAGATAACAAGGTTTTGCATCGTATAATGTAACTTAATTCAATATTCTAGAATTCATAACGTTTCAGAAAGGAATAGAAATTTGCATTCATGTTTGTGCAGTGGCACACGTTTGCTTAGTACGGGTGGGGTATTTCGCATATGCAATCAATACATTTGAGGGAAGTATTGCAAAAAATAGTTAGTTTCTCACTAACCTGCATCATGAAATTACCAAATAGGCACATGTCAAGTATATAATTAATTTGTAACAGTTATAGTTTATTATTATTAAAATTTGATTTAATAGTTATTCAACAAATCAGGTATAGTACGTACAAATCCATACGCAAATGTTTAGTATTAAAGAGACCGGATGATTTGGCGGATCAAAGAATCGACAATTTTTTGTGAATTTTTGGAGAAAAAATGATTATAGCTATCAATGTTAAGTTTGGACTTATATTTTACAAAACAATACTAACAATATTAACAATAATTTTTTTGGCAATTTAATGAGAAAAATAATGGCCAAAAAAAAACTTTTTGTTTCATAAAGGCATAATTTTAACAAATCGCGATTTTTTATAATTCTGTTAGGTTTACCGTATACATTTAACATTATTAATTACAAATTAATTTGATTTTTTATTTCAAACGACTAATTGTGGCTGTATAATGCTAGCAATTTGATAAAACCTCATTTTGCCATCTCTCGAATATTTTATAAAACACATTTCGGTTCCTAAAAATTCATACTTATTCTATAAAGTGCAAAAAAAAAGAATATCAAACGGATTATTATTTTAATAGAGTATCGTAAATGTAGATGACTTGGCACAGCAAATATTTTTGTTAAATTCAATCATGGAATCCATTCATGAGTTTCTAAGACTCAGTTCCACAACTCATGGTTAATTGTTAACTGAGGTTCAACTTATTTATTGTCTCTCCTCAATTCTAAAACCGGACAGAAATAAGAAACAAGTGGAACTGAGCCTAAAGGAAGTTAAGTTTTAAGTTTTAAACTTTCTGTTCCATAGTTCATTGTAGACTATATAACTTTTTTTACGATAAGCTCCAAAATAATAATTCTGTGTCAAAATAATAATCAATCAAAATAACTGTGGCAATTATTTGGAATACAGCCCTTTCTCCCACCTAAAAAAACACACTCTTAATAAAAACATACTTATTCAAAGCGTTTTTACTCAAAACAAAAGAATCTGTCAGAAAAACATGGTGGCCGATTTCGTGAATTCTTACCATCTTATAATTATCTTTTTTCTAAATAAACATTTTAAAATATATAATCGATACGATAAATATTTGATATTTTTATGAAGCATCTAATAGTTCATATCGAAATGTATTTTTATAGATTTTGCGAAATAACTGTTTATGAATGAGAAATTTAAGTAATCTTCAGACTAAATAAAAGTGACGTGTAACTAAGTATACAATAACTAGAAATCCGTCAACTATTAGAACAAAAATCACGTTAAACATTTTACATTGACGTCAACAACTTCTTTATAATATGTGAATTATTATGTTCACATATCTGTTCACACATGTTATGTTCACACATATTACCATGACGGAATAATCCCGAACTGTCGACGCGTATGAGAAAACGTGACGTAATTTGAATAATGTGACGCCGTACATGAATCTTTCATAATATCAAAAGAACATGCACATCCATACACGCATACATACTGAACGACTGTATTAAATATTCATGATTGTTTTTCACAAAAAAAAAAAGATCCTTCGGGTAAAATCATGCATTAAGTTAAATTTACAAGATATTTTTAAGATATGTTTTATAAATCATTAATTGAAATTTATACCTTGTGTCGTATATAATTATATAAAAAATACATTTATTAAGGTTATAGTGATTTAAACGTTTAGCTAATTTATAAATTAATATTTAAACATTTTATGATTTTCGAGAAATTCTGTTTTTCTATTTATCTCTTTTACCATTTCCGGCTGGCTCTCATTCTCTTCTTTCGCGACTATTATTTGTTTTTCCGAAAAGCAGAATCATATTAAATAAATATGATGATTGCATGATTCATATACATACATATTAGAACATAAAACGCGGTATTTATTCGTTTACGGTGCTTACAGTATGTGTAGATATTAATACTTTTACGTATAAAATAATAAAATGAATGAATCTATATAAAGAAAGTACTTGTAGTTGGTTTTATAAAATTACGTAAAATTGCAAATTGCAAAATGTAAATTTTTCTCTAATTGCAAATTGAGCTTTCTTTATAACACATATGTGAATTGAATAACAAAATTAAAATCATATTATGAATGGACTCGAGCATATTTCAGAATAATCTTCATACAGAAAAAAATCAAGACGTTTAAACGAGTGGTAATAACAAGTATAAAAAATTTTTAACGAGTGGAGTTAATTTCGCCAATCATATAAATTACAAAGGTTATAAGTCCGTAATCAATGTAATATTCGGCTAATTTAATAATTTTGGAATTGTTAGATTCTAAACACTGTTAAATGATTCAAACAACAAAAATGAGACATTAATTTTATCCACAATTTACCGTAATCAACTGCGACAACGGCGACGATAAACGCCACATAGACGCACACTTGAACAGAAATACGTCTTTCATAATTGTACACACGCAAAGTTATAGACTCTGCAGCGTTTGTATTATATTCCTTAGACTATTTTGTGACAACTGATAAAAAGGGATGCAAGGGCAAGAAGGGATATATGTAAAAAGTATAAAAATAAATACAACATAGTATAAATAGAAAAAGTAATACAGAAGACGTTATATACAATTTATATAAATATTTAATTTGTATTAATACTTACGTTTTGAATCAATATAATGAAAATTGAAAAGATATCTCAATCCTCAAAATTTATACTTTTCTTTAAAATATTTCTTTATGTTAGATAGTTCAGCACATTCAAAGGTTCGCGCCATTTTCGACGCTATGAGTTAGGGACTCGCCGAAGGCATTAGAGATTTTTGCGGCTTAGCGAGACGTTTTAGATTGATACGCGTATTGTTTATCCTTTTTTGGTACCTCTCAGCGAGAAACGTACTACGAACTACTTCACAGAAATTATATCGTTTATCTAAGTACCAGAGTATGTGATTCTTTTATACATAACACTTTATATGTGCAATTATATTGAATATAGGTAGTTGTAACAAAATTCTTGCATTAGTCATGGTATGATGCATCGTTCATGAAAAATTAATTAACTTCGATGCCTCTATTAATAACATTAATGTCTTATAGGCGTTTTGTAGGCAAAATGAAGCTTGTTCAAAGTAATTCATCTACCATAAGAGTGATGCATATCATTTTTCCTTCCGAAAAAAGATATACATTTTATTTAAATGAAAGGGGGAATCTTACGTATATTATAAACTACTTTTTCTATATACATATTTAAAAATTTATTTATATTTTAAAGATAATTTTATATACGAAGTAGGCCATTTTAATCAATACACGCGAATATCTCGAAAAGGAGAAATTTTTTCAAAAATTGTTTCAGATAAAAGTTTTAAAGGGGAAATAAAACGGTGATCTTGGTAAGAAGTTTATCTTGATAAGAAGTCCTTAAGGTCATGTCCTGACCTTAAAAAAATTTTTTTAATGGAACCTCCATTTTTTTATTGCAAAAAAATTTTATGTGACATGGACCTGACCTTAAGGACTTCTTATCAAGATAAACCAAGGTCACCGTCTTTTTTTCCCCTTTGAAACCATAAAACTTTTGTTTGAAACATTTTTTGAAAAAATTTCTCCTTTTCGAGATATTCGCGTGTATTGATTAAAATGACCTACCCTGTATAACCACAATACTATTATATTAGAATCAGTTTTACTTGTTTTCTATGTCAATAGAAAACGCGCAAATATTTTGTAAGAGTTAATCGATTGATTAGTTTTGTAAAGAAATTGGTAGGTATATATATGATGCATTTACATGGGATGATTACAATAATTACACAAGATATAACTATAGGAGATAGTTATTATAGCTAACCGCACAACTGATATTATCTTCATGCGTAAAACGCATACATCGGTCATGTGGAATAATCTTCGTGTGAGACATACATTTGGATGAGCTACACTTAATGGTAATATATCGCGATTACTAGGAACAGTTATATGATCTTGAATTGTTGCAAATTGAAGATTATTCCTGGGTAAAGCAATATACATTCTTATTATATAAGAAATATTTACCAATATCTATATTTTCAACGATATGAAGACTCTTAAGATACAACTTAGAATTTATTATGTTGCCATACAGTTTCTTTTAATAAATAGATATTTTATTACATTAATTGGGCAATGCATATTAATAATTAATAAGTAATATGTCTATCCTTGTAAATATAAATTTTTATTATAATTTAAGGTTTTCACAAATCTTTAAATTTTATAACAAGACTTTGCATTTCATAGCAAAAATAATAATCTAATACATTATAATATCTTTCATCAACGCTTAGAAATAAGAAATCTTACTAGAACTATTTTTATGATATATGTATACAAGTTAATACAGGTGGTATTTCACAAATGCAATCGATGGTATAAATTGAAGATGGCTCTAGTCTGTCTCCAATTCGCATTAACAAATTACCAAATATGCACATATCTGAAAAAAGGAATATCAAATGAATAATCATAATATATTTTCTTAGAATAAAATTATAGATAAATATTAATAGTACGTCAATTATTTTATATAGCACACTTTTCTGTATTCAGTAAATTGGATGCGCAATGAAGTGAGTTGTATTTTGTAATTAGTTATCATTTTATAGGATCATAATATTAACGTGCTACAGAAATTGATTTTGCGCAGTGTTCGTTATCCATATGCAATGTTTGTCGCAATTACCTCCTATTTGACGCGATTCATAATATGGTTGTGTAATTAGTATCGCTTGACCGTTCAAATACGTGTCAATATCTCTCATTTTATATACCTTACATATTCATATAATTACCGAATGGCAATCTATCGTGAAGTAATAAATTTGTTCTTAATATCGCGCGATCCATAAAATTAAAGAAAATATTAATAATGAATAAATTTAAACAAATTAACATGAAAAAAAATTAATTTTGTCAGTTTTGTTAAAATACGCTATTAATTTTATTTTTCATACAACATAGATAATGCTCCAATTTTCCAAGTTATTAACGTTACTTTAGAATTCGAATAACGTTTCCAGTGATTGCTTATAGAAGCTATGTAATATAAATTAAATAAATAAAATATTGCTTACGTTTTAAAAGAAAATTCAAATGTATATATAACAAATTGTATATATTATTTCAATGCCATATGAATGTATATATATAATATATACTCTAATTTCTTAATAAATGTAAGTAAAATAATTTTTTTATCAAACCGACGTAATATTTCACGAATGCATATAGGATATTACAAAATAAATTTACATTTAAAAATAAATATAAAACCTACTACTCCAGTCATCATCCATTATAAAAGGTAATTGTCTAGGAATGGTAGTGTCGCCAGAAACCTCTGAAAAATTCAACAAAAATTATGGGAATAACAACAATTCAAATTGCAAACTTACGACATAACATCTTTACATGACACTTGTCCATTTCGTAATAATTATAAACTGGAGCACAATTTCGATTAAAATAATCTTCGTGACTGAATGCAGGGTGACACGGGGAATGGTTAGGCTTCATACAGTAAGGTGGAACATTTTCATCTAAAATTAGAAAATTTCCAGTTCTAATAGGTATTACGTATATTGATAACTTTGGAAATTATATATTATAAGTTAACTGTTCGGTGTCATTTTCTACCATTTTATTATTTGTTTATCACATGGATGTTGTATGAAAATATTGTGTGTAAAAATGAAGAAAATATATATTTTTTTCAATCGAAACATCAAATACTAAAGAACAGTAACAAGCAAATACATGTATCTTTATTAATAAAAAGGTTTCAGCATATAAAGTGAAACAAATCTCTATAGAGACAATGGCACCGAAAGGTTAAAAGCAATGTAAATTTATTTTATGATAATAATTAACATTATTACTACGTTTGTATCCTGGTTGGCAGATACAAATCAAATCAGGTTCTTCATTCACTTTGAAATATTCACCATCAAGATATCTATGATTATTTACAATACAAAAAGGTCTATCTTGCTGTGTTTTAGCTAAAACATTTAAGAAGCATTACTTATACTTTACGATTATACTTTCTATAGTTTTATTTAATTCATGTGTATATTTATATGACTGACCGGTTCACTAACTTAAATAAAATTTTTATAACAATAATAAATATATAATTATGTTATAAGT